GGCACTTCTGGGCCCCTCGACAAGAGAGACACTGAGGGGCTGGAGCGTGTGCAGGGAAGGGAACGGAGCTGGGAAGGGGCTGGAGCAGCAGGAGCAGCTGAGGGAGCTGGGGGGGCTCAGCCTGGAGAAAAGGAGGCTCAGGGGGGACCTTCTGGCTCTGCAACTCCCTGACAGGAGGGGGGAGCCAGGTGGGGGTTGGTGGGTTGGTGCCTTCTCACAGAAAACCAGCCAGAGGACAAGGGAAAATGGCCTCAAGTTGTGCCAGGGGAGGTTTAGATGGATACTGGCAAAATCTCTTCACAGAAAGGGTGGTCAGGGTCTGGCACAGCTGCCCAGGGCAGTGCTGGAGTCACCATCCCTGGAAACGTTCAAAAAATAGTCAGTGTGGCACTTTGTGATACGGCTTAGTGGGCACGGGAGGATTTGACCAAAGGTTGGACCTGATGCTCTTGGAGGCCTTTTCCAACCTTAAAGATTCCCTGACTCCAAACGTCCCCCACACAGCACAGAGCAGGGGCCTCCACACGAACCCCAGCAGCACCTCCATCCATCCTCTCCTGGGAGAGCCTGGGATGAGCCTCCCACCCGCTCCCAGCACCCGCGGGTGCCACTGACCTGGGAGAAGAGCAGGTATCCGCACTCGTCACAGGGCAGCATGTCATCCACCAGCACCGTGGTCCAGGTGCCGTCCTTGCACAGCCGCACCTGGTAGGCGCCCTCGGAGCACAGAGTCCTGGTGATCATCACCCTCTCCACCAGCTCGGGCCGCTCGGCCAGCACGGCCAGGGCGCTCAGGAACCTGCCGGCGGGACGGGACGCGGGGCGGCCTCAGCGGGGCACGGGCGGGCAGCGGGCACAGCCGCCCGGCCATGCAGCGCGCGGGAAGGGGTGAGGCAGAGCATGGGCTACAGCCTGGGGGCATAAATGGGTTTGAGTAGGGCTGGGGGGGCCGAGCTGGAGCTGGAAGAAGGGGAGGGGAAGGAGGAAGGGGCAGGGGGGTATCAGCCCGGCTCGTTCCCCCTTACCAGCAGTTCCCCAGCAGGCCCTGCAGGATGTCCGAGGGCCTGGGCGTCCGGAACACCGACCACTTCACCGACCGGTCCTTGAAGATGCTACAGTTGATTTCGTGGGGCCGCAGCCACTGCTTGACCCGCTGCTGCACGCTGTCACCTTCTGGGAACCCCACGGACTTGGGCCCGGGGGGGAAACTGTCATCGACAAAATTCACTTTGTTCTGTGGGAGCGAAAGGCAAGGAGAGCGTCAGCTGGGGCCTCTCGGGACTGGCTGGGCACAGGGAGCTCCCCTTTGCCCTCCAGGAGTGAGAGCAGAACTCCCAGCCCTCCCACCCATCCCAGACAGCCCCTTCCCAGCACTGCAGGGCAGCAGGGCTGGGACAGGTGTCCGCTGGCAGCAGCAGAGATGGATTTTGTGCTTCAGGTCCAGCGTTCAGCCCTGCCAGGGCCAGCTAACCTCTCCAGCCCCAAGCTCCAGAACGGGACTCCAATCTGCCTTTTTCTGCTTCACAGGAGCCTCCCTGGGCAGGGATTGTCTCACACCTTGTGCTGGTGCTAAAAGCTGGGCCGTGGGGGGCCTTGGCTGCCTCTAGAAGTGGCAAAGCCTGCAAACAGCAACCCTGCAAGGAGCCACCTGGCAAAGCAAACACTCCTCAGCCCGAGCCCCGGCCCTGCTCCGGAGGGGACACACTGGGCTTGGCAGTCCCGTGCCAAACCCCCAGGCACATCCATGGGGGATGCGAGGGGCAGCTTTCGCAACTGGATTCAGCCAGACAAGCAATTCCAGAGGGAGGGGATCCCAGGTCGGAGCCCTCCTGCAATAGCTGCTGTTGCAACAAATAAATAGGATGGATGGTTGGAAGGGCAGGTGATCCCGGAGGCATCACCCACGTGGATGGTAACACAGAACACCAACTGCAGAAGAGCAGCTTTTTCAGACAGTCTAACAAGGGGTGAAATAAGAACAGGTGTTTCTTTGTTATTGTTAATTAAATTAAATTAAATTCTTTCAGCAAAAGCCGGCTCTCATTTAAATTAGCTTTATGCACACCAAACTAATAGTTGTCCTCCTCTTTTGTGGCAATGCCGTGTGAATGCTTCCTTTGTGGGGCCTCAATTAGCACCTCCAGCTTCTCTCTTGCAGAGGGGTGTTTTTCAGCTCATAGCTGTCAAGTCCCAGGGTGTGCTGCACTCTCGGGGGAACATCTGCTCCCTACAGCTGACGAGAAACCCCCTCTGCCAGCAGCCTCATCTCGTCACATCCTGGCCTCACACACATCCCTCTGGGCTCCTACATGGACCTCTGGGCTCCTCAGGAACCTGCTGTGCAGGGCCACAGGGCCACAGGGGAGGAGATTTTCCCCTCTACTCTGCCCTCCTGAGACCCCACCTCATACTGTGTCCAGCTCTCCAGGACTCAGCACAAGAAAAATGTGGAGCTGCTGGAGCAGGTCCAGAGGAGATTACAAAGATGCTCCGAGGGCCCCTCTGCTCTGGAGCCAGGCTGGGAGAGCTGGGGGGGTTCACCTGGAGATGGGAAGGCTCCAGGGAGACCTGAGAGCCCCTGCCAGTACTTGATGGGTGCTTATAAATAAGAGGGCAGGTAGTGATAGGACAAGGGAGAAGAGTTTTAAACTAAAAGAGGAGAGATTTAGGTTAGCTATTAGGAGAAGATTTTTCCCTGTGAGGGTGGGGAGGCCCTGGCACAGGTTGCCCAGAGAAGCTGTGGCTGCCCCAGCCCTGGAAGTGTCCAAAGCCAGGTTAGGGGGCTTGGAGCAACCTGGGCTGGTGGAAGGTGTCCCTGCCCATGGCAGGGGGTGCAACAAGATGGGCTTTGAGATCCTTTCAAACCCAAACCATTCTGTGATTCTGGTGGAAGAGGTCAGCTCTGCTCTGTCCCAGGACTGAAGAGAAAGGGTAAAGCTGATTAGGGGACCACACACTGAGAAGAGCTGGAACAGGCACCCCTGGAATAATGGAGGAGGGACAGCCCACTGCAGGAGTTCCACCAGAAATCCTGAGAGGGAGCAGCATGGGCTGCTCCACAGGACATGGGGCAGGGGGACAACAGGCAGAGGAGAACTTGGCCAGCCTCACACTCCTCCAGGGGAAGGATGAACAGCCTGGGAACTACTGGGACAGAAGGAAGCTTGGAGGCTGACCCACACACCAGCCTCAACAGGAGCATTGGTGGGAGGCTGCAGGGACACTGGGAGCAGAGCAGACACGAGGGTGGGAGCAGCACTGCCCCCCCACTGCTGCCAGGCCTCCCTTGGACTGCAGAGACTCCTCTAAACAGTGTCAGAGTACAGCAGAGGTTCGAGAGGGATTTTTGGGGGGATAGCCCACGCTGATCTAACGGCACAAGGGGCTCAGCCAAGGCTCTGACTGAGCAGGATGGGTCAAGGCAGGCTCCCCTTCCTGGCAGTGCCAAGCTGCTAATTCAGTCTGGTCATCAGCATGATTCATCCTTCAGGCCTGATTCCTGAAGTAACAGATGTTCCCTGCCTACAAAAGAGGCTATTCACTTGCTTAAAAGAAGGGGATAAGCAGAATCTGGGTCTCTCTGCTGTAAAGACACCCACGCCTGTTAGCATGGACGTGGAGCAATTTTAAAAGCCCAGAACCCCAAACCAGGATCATTCTCAGAGCTTCTCCCCAAGCCCAATATCTCCTGTCTCTGGACTGTGCAGTGGAGACACAGTCATGGACACGCTCCTCAGACCAGGCAGACAAATCCCTGTCTGCACGTCAAAACGGGACTGCAACTCCCTTTCCATCTGGTCCAGAAGAGCTGGAGGCTTCCCCCAGAAGGAGGCCAGAGAAAGCAGCATTCACAGGAGCATCTCATGCCACACAGGGAAAAAATGGGGCCATCAGAGCTGTGTTTGAGGCTGAAACTTAACTGATTGAGCCAGACACTTCAAAGTGGGAGGGGAGGTGCTGGCACACGCTCCTGAGACCCTTGACTGGAGCCAGCCTACAGCCAAACCTCAGCTGGCCTGCCCAGAAAAGGGGGGAGCCACTTGTGCTGCACTTGTGCATTGACAACACCCAAACCAGGAATGCCAAGGCCCAGCTCATGGCTCTTCAACACCTGCAGTTGCTGGCAGTGGCACCGGTTCCTCTGCCTGCATCCCTGCCTGTGCCACAAGCTCCTGCCTGCTGCATTCCTGACTTCTTGCATCCACAGGTGACAGCTGCTGCCCACAGACAGTGGTGCCACCTGCAAACCTGGGCACACTCTTCTTCCCCAGCCTTCCCCACCCTTGGACAGGGAAGGAACTGTATGACCGCATCAGGGTGAGCCCTTCATCCCAGATGTTCTCTCTCACTGATTTAAAATATCCTGAGGTTTCAGAGTCAACAGGTTTAGCACTAGGTTTTGGACTTCCTCCCCCTTGGACCAGGGATGGACTGTACGGGTTGTCTTCTACCCAGAGATTATTCTGCACCAACATAAAATACGACATTTCAGTGTTAACAGCCAGCACCCAGCTGCTGCCAGTGAATATCTCCTCTGGAACTCTGGAACTCCAGCCACAGAGCCCTGTGCCAGGCAGTGCCCCAGCCCCATGGTGGAGGCAGAAAGGGGTCCCCCCCCCCGAGTGAGAGCAGGAGCGAGGCTGGCTCAGCCAGGACTCACCTCCCGGCAGAAGGTCACGATGTTTTCCCACAGGGCTTTGGCCTCCCCCTCGTCCGTCTGGCGCCTCTTCTCCACGTGCATGCTCTCCCTCCTCTTGAGGGGCTTGAGGCCCTTGCGCTGGGTGATGTACTGCTGGGGGGTGTGGCAGGCCGCGCAGTGCTTGGCCTTGCCCTCGTTGAGCAGGGTGCAGGCGGGACAGGCCCACTGGCCCGGCCTGTCCTGCCCGCCGGGCAGCGGGGCCGGGAAGAGCCGGGCGACCTTGCGGGCAGACGGGGCTTTGGAGCCGCAGGAACAGCCGCCCCTGTCGCCGCAGTCGGGGCAGCGCGGGGCCGGCTCGCTCGGCGGGCCGTGCTCCTGGAAGCCGTGCAGCTTGGAAGAGCCGCACACCTTGCACTTCTGGGCCTGGGTGGGGTTCTTGAGGGTGCACTTGGAGCAGGACCAGGTGGTGAAGTCGGGGCTGGAGGGGCTGCACGGGGTGAACCTCACCGAGTCGCCCACCACGTTGATGGTGTCGCTGCCTTTCTGGGCGCTGCAAACCTCGCACTTGCCGGCCCCGGCGGAGTTGAGCAGGGAGCAGGAGCTGCACTTCCAGTGGGACGGGCTGACCTCCATCTCCTCCTCCAGCACGCTCAGTCGCTTGTTGGACAGCAGCTCCGGGAAGCGGGCGGCGGGGGCAGCCCTGGCCTGGCCCTGGGGAGAGCCCTTCTGCCCCGCGGCGCTCGGGGCCGCAGGCTGGGGGGCTTCGGGGCCAGGCATCTGCAGCTGGGGGGGCACCTCCCGCCGGCTTCGGGGCACGGGGTTGTTCTGGAGCCCCGGGGAGAAGGGGCTGAAGGCTGGTATCTTCTGTGCCTCCTGCTCCATAGCCACGGGGCCCTGGGCGGCTGCGGCGTCACCATCGGAGACCTCTGCAGAGACCGAAGGCTGCGGGGTGGAGGGGGCCATGTGAAACCCGGCCGGGGTGATGACTTCAGGGACGACCAGCGCCTCTGGGGGGATCTTGGGCAGGGAGAGCTTGCGTGGGCCCCCGCAGGCGGAGCAGGAGTTGGCCACGGGCGTGTTGTGCAGCGTGCAGCGCTGGCAGGCCCAGCCGCTCTCCAGCTCCGCTTCGTCGGGGCTCTTCCCCTCCGAGTCCTCGCTGCCGCTTTCCGCCTTGGCAGCCTCCTCCTTGGACGTGCCCTTGGGCTCCACGAGCACAGCGGGCTTGGGCAAGATGCCGTTGATGACGGGCAAGGGGGAGCCGCTGGGCCCTGGCTCCGGGGTGAAGCCACACACCTCGCACGTCTCCTTGCCCAGAAAGTTCCTGAAGGTGCAGCGGGCACAGGCCCATTTCTGTTCCTCCACGCTGAGCCGCAGGATGTGGTTGAGGTCGGGTTTCTGCCGAGGGGCTTCGCAGATGGAGCACTGCCGCTGGCCCACGGGGTTCAGGAAGGTGCAGCGGGTGCAGGACCACTCACGGACGGCAGCCATGGAGCCGGGAGAGTGGGAGTGGCTGCAAGGAAGAAGAGGACAGTGTGAGGCCAAGGCCACTGGCATGGTCAGGACCTTGCTTCCAGGGAGAGAACAACCAGCAGTCCAGTCGCAGCTCTCCAGGCGCTTGTTCCTCTGGCACTGACAAATTCTCCAAGCGCATGGCAATGCACTGGCTTTCACCCAGAACACTTCAGGAGGGGCACAAGAAACAGCCCCAGCACCCCACCGACCCTGCTCTCATGGTGGGGATGTGCCCCAGTGAGCAAACACGCCGTCTCTGTACTCAGCCTCGGCAACTTTGCGTGTCTGCAGGTCGCCTGGAACTCTCTGGAGTTAGAGTGACACCCTGCTCTGCCTTTTTGCTGTTCCCACCATCAGTTCTTTCCTCCTTCTCTACTCCAGCCCAACTCTGTCTCACTTTCCGTTCCTATCTCCCTCCTGTCCTTTCAGCTCCCCACCACAGGCACACCACTCATCCACACTGGAATAACCATGTTATCCCACACCAGACACCACCAAGCCAAGAAAGGCAGGCTGTAGTGGACAGAGGTGCTTCTACCTGGTTACGTGTTTCAGGGCCAGAAGCCTGGCCCAGCCAGCCCAGGGGCAGCAGCTAAAGCAGGTTGTGGTGCACTGGTGGCCAGGACAGCTCACCAGCAGCTTCCCAGCTCAGCAAAGAGGGGCACTGTGTCCCAGCTCCAGCTGCCTCCCCACTTACCTGGGAAGCACAGAGGCCACAGAGCCCTGCAGTCAACACCACCCCTCAGTTTCAACCTCCAGTGCTGCCTGGGAATGCCAGAAACCCTGATGGGAGAACAGGCCCAACATGCGCACGAGTCACCTCTTCCCAGGGCAGGGAGTCAATCTCGTTTTCTGGGCAGGTTCAATTTTCAGAAAGCACAGCAGCAGCACCAGCTCCAGGGGCCACAGCAACCTCTGGGCTGCAGGGAGCAGCCTTCCCTCCCCACAGCCCTCCTGGTGCTGTCAGGAAGGGGATGCCACATGTGCACACTCTGAGAGCTGCAGAAGGAATCCCAGCCTGCCTGGTGCCCTTTGTCCCTTGCTTGGGGTCATTTCCTGGAGCTTGGAGCAAAGGTGGGGCTGAAGCAGAGCTTTCTGCTTCCTCCTCCTTCACATAAGGACAAACCAGCTCTCCCTCAGGTAAACGTGCAGCACGAGCCAGAGCCCTTCCTCCAGGCACTCCTGCTCCCAGATAACGAGGTTGAACTCAGCCTTGAACCCAACCTCCAGGCCAGCTGTGCCTCTCTCCAGCACAGCCGGTCCCCTTCCAACCCCTTCCACCCTGCTCTGCTTGCCTGAGGTCGTGGGCAGGGCCGAGTCTGCAGGAGAAGCCACCAAGTCCACCCCGTGCCCTCAGCTCTTGCTGGGAACAGCAAATTCAGGCCTTCACAGACCAAGGAAAGAGCAGCCTAAACCACGGGAGCTGCCCCTCATGGGCTCCCTCTCCAGCACCCCTTCAACAACCCAGTTCAACCTCCACACTGGCTGGAAGAAAGAAGGGAAGGAGAACATTTAATGCCACAGAGGGCAGGTGCAGAAAGCTGCGAGATGCCCATGGAAGGACCTGGGTCCTGGCTGGTCTCCAGAATCCCCAGCAGCAGCACCTGCACACCCAGCTTCCCAAGGCACTGAGCAGACTGCAATGCAGCAGCAGGGTCTTCAGGGGACAGAGGATGCAGCCAGAGCCCCCGTGGGGAGGAGGATGGTGACTCTCCCTTTGGCTGGTAGATGATAAACTCTCCTGGGAACACTCCAGCAGCAGCAGCAGCAGCAGCAATCCAACCACATTTTCAGACCACACTCCACAGCCACTGGAAGAGCAGCTCTGCCTCACAGAGATCAGATATAACCTTCAACTCCCTTCTTAAATCAAACACTTCTCTAAATAAAGCCTGAAATCAAGAAATCCATTTTATTGCAAGAGAGAGCTTGAAAATTCATTCTGGCTCATATACCGTGCCTGCATCGTTTGAACTTTGCAAGGTATTTATTTACTGGAGTTATTCCCACCTAAGAGAAATATAAACATTGATTTTTCTGCCTCAAGTCCTACAGCTGAGAACCACTGCACATCCCTCTCCCATGTGGCAGCACAATGTCTGAAAGGGAGATCATTGCTCAAGCAGAGAAGGAGAAGGAGCTCCGTGCCCGGCTCCGGCAGCAAATGGGGCCACGAAGGGCACTGTGATCCTGTCACATCCATTTGTCTTACTGGGTGAGGTCCATCAAACCACAGGCATCAGCAAAAGGCAAGCGAAGCCTGTCAGCAATCTGTGCCATCCATGGCCATCCTCCTGCAGCATTTCGTGCTTTTCCCCGCCGTACACTGTGCCGCCTCCAAAAAAACCCACCCCTAAATGCAGATGCCACAGCACTTCCAGAGGGTCTGCACATCCAGCCACCAGCCCTCCTGCTGCACACATCCCTTCCACACACGTGGTCCTACCCAGCAGGCAAAGCCACCACGGGACCATGGAAAGAATCACCTTGTCCCTTCCCACAGAGAAGGGAAAACCCAGGATAAACTAAAGCCAGAAGTACCACACGAGGGGACAGTGGGATGAGCTGCACCACCAGATTTGTTTGATGTGGTGTCAGGGATGAGCTGCAGGCTCAGGAAAGGCAGCATCGTTTCACTTGGCCAGGCAGGGGATTCAGGCTCAGCAGCAGGAAGGGAGATAGGAGCCAGGACACTGCAGTGCTCTCCTCTAAGCTGTGACACTCCTGAGCTACAGTGTCCCCCTCCTGGTCCCCATGCCACAGGAGTCGGCTCCTAACACTGCCCAACTGCTGCTGGGATTTCCACCTACTTGACTTTCTCAGGAAAACAAACCTTCCAGAAAGGCCATGGAAGGTCCTGCAGTGGCCAGGCCGCTGTTGTGACAAGCTTTGGCAGGAGATTCCCTGCCTGCTGTTGCACCATGTTGTGTTGCCCAGCAGCCACAGTCTTCCCTGAAAACTACCAGAAAAGGTACAGAAAAGGAAGATCACACTGGACATGGATCTTCAGCTGTCCCCCACAAGACACGAGTCCCCCAGACTTGGCGACCAGCCCACAGCCTGCTGCCCCCAGACTCCTGTTAGGGCTCACGGACAGTTCCAGTCCCCACCTCCATCACCAGGCTTAAGTTAAAGGTCCAAAGATCCCAGGGGGACCAGCTTGGAACCTGCCTTCCCGTGGCCCAACTCGTATCACCACGTGGTGGATCGTGGCAGGAGCCTCTGCCCCCCAGCAACACCTTCCTCACAAATTCAACCAGCAGGAGAAACCCGACCACAGCCTGTCCTCGCTCCCTACTTCTCCCTAAAAAGCCTGGTTGGCTCCTTTCCCGGCAGGCAAGTGAGGAATCAGGGTTGTCTGCAGCACCTATTCCCCAGGCCCATCTGCTGTGTGCTAACACACACTTGCTCTCCAGCCCCAGCAAACACAACTGAGATAAACAGAGCCTGCCACCTTCCCGGTGCCTGCAGGAAAGGAGCTCCTCCAAAACCAGCCCTGCAGTCACCCACCCACGGGAGGGCTTTCCTGGGGGACACTTCACTGGGAGCACGATGACACAGCCTGGCAGCAGGGACCTGCTGGAGCCTCTTTTGGGGTGCACACAGCAAGGAAAGGGCAACACTGGTACAACCCCATAGCTCCAGCAGCGTGGATGGGGCTGGATCCATCCCTCCAGCAGCATGGATGGGGCTGGATCCATCCCTCCAGCAGTGTGGATGGGGCTGGATCCATCCCTCCAGCAGTGTGGATGGGGCTGGATCCATCCCTTCAGCAGCGTTGATGGGGCTGGATCCATCCCTCCAGCAGTGTGGATGGGGCTGGATCCATCCCTCCAGCAGTGTGGATGGGGCTGGATGCACACCTCCAGCAGCATGGATGGGGCTGGATCCATCCCTCCAGCAGCGTGGATGGGGCTGGATCCATCCCTCCAGCAGTGTGGATGGGGCTGGATGCACACCTCCAGCAGCATGGATGGGGCTGCATCCACATCTCCAGCAGTGTGGATGGGGCTGGATCCACCCCTTCAGCAGTGTGGATGGGGCTGGATCCACCCCTCCAGCAGTGTGGATGGGGCTGCATCCACATCTCCAGCAGTGTGGGTGGGGCTGGATCCACCCCTCCAGCAGTGTGGATGGGGCTGCATCCACATCTCCAGCAGTGTGGGTGGGGCTGGATCCACCCCTCCAGCAGTGTGGATGGGGCTGGATCCACCCCTTCAGCAGTGTGGATGGGGCTGGATCCATCCCTCCAGCAGCGTGGATGGGGCTGGATGCACACCTCCAGCAGTGTGGATGGGGCTGGATGCACACCTCCAGCAGTGTGGATGGGGCTGGATCCATCCCTCCAGCAGTGTGGATGGGGCTGGATCCACGTGACTGTGCTGCTCACTGCAGCAGCTCTCCCCAACCCAAGACAGGAGACATCAGCTGGCAGGAGGCAGCACCACGTTGGCAGGAGTGCCCCTACCTTGGCAATCGCAGTAGTGTAATTATCGTGCTTAAAAAATAATATAGAAGGCACTCAACCCAGAAGGCAGCTTTCAGCATGCTGAGCAGGTCCCAGGGAATTAAGAAGGTTCCAGCTGGTCACCTTCCAAACCCACCTCAGGACAGTGATATCCCCCTCCCAGGGCTCTGCTGAGGGATGAATCTGCTGAGCCTGGGTGTCCTGTTGCTACTCCTACCCAGCCATCAAACTGGCCAGGGGAGTCCACCACCTTTGGGTGCCACCTGGGACCAAAGACTTTTCTGAAGCGGGACAGAACAGGAAGGAACAGGGTAGGGAAGGAAAGCAGGAAGTGCCCAAAAAGCTGCAGTTTGCGTCTTTCCTGCTGGCGAGGAGCTGGGGGTGTGCCAAGGCTGTGTGATGTGCAGCAGAGCTCCAGGGCAGGAGGTGGCAACCAGCCCTGGGCAGAAGCACCTTGGAAGTGCCAGAGAACGGCTCGAGGTGACCTGGGCACCGGAGCGAGAGATCCCAGGGCTCTGCTGCAGAGCCCA